TATAGAGAACTTCTCAAACTCAACACACAAAAAACAAATAATCCAATCAAGAAATGGGCAGAAGACATGAACAGATACTTCTCAAAAGAAGACATACAAATGGCTAACAGACACATGAAAAAATGTTCATCATCATTAGCCATCAGGGAAATTCAAATCAAAACCACATTGAGATACCACCTTGCACCAGTTAGAATGGCAAAAATTGACAAGGCAAGAAACAACAAATGTTGGAGAGGTTGTGGAGAAAGGGGAACCCTCTTACACTGTTGGTGGGAATGCAAGTTGGTACAACCACTTTGGAAAACAGTGTGGAGGTTCCTCAAAAAATTAAAAATAGAGCTGCCCTATGATTCAGCAATTGCACTACTGGGTGTTCACCCCAAAGACACAAATGTAGTGAAAAGAAGGGACATATGCACCCCAATGTTCATAGCAGCAATGTCCGCAATAACCATACTGTGGAAAGAGCCAAGATGCCCTTCAACAGATGAATGGATAAAGAAGATGTAGTCCATATATACAATGGAATATTACTCAGCCATCAGGAAGGATGAATACCCAACTTTTACATCAGCATGGATGGGACTGGAGGAGATTATGCTAAGTGAAACAAGTCAAGCAGAGAAAGTCAGTTATCATATGGTTTCACTATTTGTGGAACACAAGGAATAGCATGGAGGACATTAGAAGAAGGAAGGGAAAAATAAAGGGGGGAAATCGGAGGGGGAGATGAACCATGAGAGACTATGGACTCCGAGAAACAAACTGAGGGCCCTGGGTGGAGGGATGGGTTAGCCTGGTGATGGGTATTAAAGAGGGCACGTATTGAATGGAGCACTGGGTGTTATATGCAAACAATGAATCATGGAACACTACATCAAAAACTAATGATGTAATGTATGGTGATTAACATAACAAAATTAAATTTAAAAAATGTAAAAGATTGATATCAGCAACTGCTGGACAGGTGTGGGATGTGGAGAAATGAGCTCTCTTTTATATTGTTGGTGGAAGTATAAATTTGTATAAACTTTTGAAGGATAATGTAGTTTTCCTATTAAAATCTGAAAAGTACATATTCTATTACCTAGTAATCCCACTTCCAGGAATCCATCCTATAGACAACGGTTACATGATAATGTAAAAATAAAATATAAGATGGTCATTATAGTATTATTATTAACAGCAAAAATTTAGGAAAAACTTAAATATCTACTGATAAATGAAAAAATAAAGGTATAGACATAAAATCATTGCAGCCATTCAAAAAAAAAGAACTGACAGACAGGATTTCCAATGTTTTGGCAATGTTCTTTTTCTAAACCCAAGTAGTAGATGTAGGGATGTGCACTATGTATATATTTATATACATATACAGTTGGGACATGTTTTTACATGCATCTGAATTTTCACAAAAAATGAAAAGGAATGAATGAGGATAAAACTATATGAATTAATCTAGTAAAATATATATAATATATTAAGAAAAAAACATAATAGGCCATAAAGACCATTATGAGTGGCATAATCCCAATTTTATGGGAAAAAAGTACTATTATGTATATTTATGGACTATGCTTCTATAGTATGTAAAAAACCAAGGAGGATATGTAGCAAACCTCTGGAGAATAGGATTATAAGGATGTTTATGGAAGGAATGGAGTGGCATTGGAGAGCTTTCAAACTTTTCTAAAAGTTTGATGGTATATATTTATTTTATTTTTATTTTATATATATCATATATATAAATTATATATAATATATATAACACATATATAATATGCTTATTTTATTTATATATTTAAATATATATATTTTTTGATTTTATATATATATATATATATATATATATATATTTACTTTATGCATGTTTCAAATGACAAAAAAAAAGAAAGCTTGCCCAGGACAATTGAAGAAAGCAAAACAAATTTAAAGAGACCAAATATGAACATGTTCCAATAAATATTTATCCAGCAGTAGAAAGTTAATTATGCAGTTAATGGACAATAATCAAGTATTTTTTAAGCATATAATAAAAAAATTATCCTATGTACTTGGTAAGGGATAGTTTATAGAAAAATTTAAGACACTGTGGTTGTATCTATGTTTCTCACATTGTAGTTAGAGAAATTATCAACTACAGTTGGTCCATTTTTTATACAAATTTTGTGGTAATAAACCTAAATTCAGCTAGAAATCATAAAACATTGAAATTTTTTTCCAAATAGTAATAAAAGCAGACATTTATTTGTTCAGTGCTAATTAAGTTCTAGGCATGATTCTAAGTGCCTTATATGTATTCATTTATTTAATTATTACAACCAATTGTTACAATCATGTCTATTTTACAGATGAGGAAAATGAGATATAGAGAGGTTAAGTAACTTGACGAAGTTCACAGCTTATAAGTAATGGGGCCAGGATTCAGACCCTAGCACTTTGATTCTAATACTTCCATCATTCTATACCATCTCTCAAAGTATTTCAAGTAAAATCTAACATTCATTTTAAATGGTGTGCTGTTATATTAAAATATGTTTTGTGTCTACAAGGCACATGAAAACAGTTTTGAAAAATATAAAACGCTATAAAATGTAAAATATTATGATTGCAAAACTTTAGTTATTCCCTCCCTCCCCATAACTAAAAGATGCTTTACTACTACAGTGGGTTACATGGGTTTATATTTGAAAGAAATAATACGATTTCAAGAAACTGATAAAAATTAACTGTTTCTTATTTATTCATGTAGACTAATATTAATTGCCCCAGCAATTATTTTTATATATTCCAATGCCAAGGAACTAAGGAGAAAGTTGTCATGATTTATTTGTTAAGATTTATTCTGTGATGGGCGCCTGGGTGGCTCAGTTGGTTAAGCGACTGCCTTCGGCTCAGGTCATGATCCTGGAGTCCCGGGATCGAATCCCGCATCGGGCTCCCTGCTCGGCAGGGAGTCTGCTTCTCCCTCTGACCCTCTTCCCTCTCATGCTCTCTGTCTCTCATTCTCTCTGTCTCAAATAAATAAATAAAAAATCTTAAAAAAAAAAAGATTTATTCTGTGATAACAGATAGAACTTTGGGAGTAAGTGGACTATGCAATCCTTTTTTTCTAGCAAACTTAAATACAGTTTAGAAGATGGTAGGCATTTCAAAACATTCTAGAGAACAGCAACAATGTATGTAAGGAAGGATCAGAGTGAAAGTCAAAGGTATATAAGAAATACATAGCAGTTCAAAAAAAAAAGAAAAGAAATATGTAACAGTTCAGAGAAGGTAGACACTGTTGAGATATGAAATGAAGGAATTTTTATGTCTAATGTGGAACTGAAATTTGTTCTGCAAGGGAGTGAAAGAATCAAGGGGCCATAAAAGAGGGTACTTTACTTTTGTTTTTGACAAAAAATAAATAAATATAACTAACTTTACCTACTTTCTTGGGACTGCTGGAAAATCACTATAATTATGGAAGTACATTTCGAAAAAATATCTTACACTCCTCAGTAGGAAGGTTGCTAGTCTTTTAAAACGAATCATGTGATAATGTTTGAAAAAAACTGTTCTTTTTCTTTAATCCAAGCCGATTAAATGATGAGAAACCCTTCCTTTTTAGTCCTTTTATGCGTTAATTACTAGTAATTAATTGCTGCTTCTCTGACTTTAGTTAGACAAACCCAAACAAATGCATAGATAGTTGATTCCTAGTTATCATATATACATCTTACTAATAAGAAACGTAAAGGTCATTGGTCAAAGTTATCCAGTAACAATCAGGGCTTCAAACTTTCATTTTAAAGCTTCACCATACTCAGGTTCTCGTGGCATGGAAATATGAAAGCAAAAACACCAAAAATTTGGACTTTCAAGTGAATAGTGGGATGTGGAAAAAAAGCAGGGGACTACAGTGAGTCAACATCTCCTGATTCCTTAAAATGCAAATGTCTGTACGGGGAAAGATCATCTAAGTAAAATACTTCATGCTGTAGAAGGGGAAAGGAAGTTGCATGAGAATTAGCTATTCAGGGAAGGTCAAGTTAGAGACAACTTTAATGATGGAACTGCACGGAAGTGGTTTAAGAATATTTCGTTTAAAAAAAAGTCAGAGCAACTAGTTTTATTATCTTTAATGAGCTCCCTGGGCCTTATCTAATGTTTTCCCAGAAATCCTCTTGTAAATACTTAAATTTACGGAGGTTCTTAAAAGAAATCCCACTCTTCCCACTATATGGGGCAAAAGAGTCTGTCATATTGTGGGGAGGGGAGGACAGGGCATGGGTAGGTACTAGTAGTGCCAACAGACTGAGAGCTTGTCCCAAAATAAACGCCTGGAAAAAATCCAAACTTTCAGTCATCAATATTCCATCCCTATTCCACACAAGCAAAAAGGAACAAAATACACAGTAAGAAAAGCAGACAAATTAAAAGAGAAGCTATCAGAGACTCCCCAAAATGGTTTCTTTTTAAAGTGAGTTGGAGAAAAAGGTCAAGGTCAGTATATCTCTCTATACAGATTGTCCTTCTGATAAGGGCTGCAGCAAAAGCAATATGGAGCAGTAACCAAAACAATCACAAAGGCAGTACAGGAGAATATTGTTTACTAAGGCTGTCCATATTTGGGTCCCTCGGGAAACTGAATAATACTGAGATTTGAGCACCGGGGCATGACCACAAATGCAAATTGCATACTAAAATTTTCAGCTTGAAATTTTCAAAATTAGTTTTTGAAATTAATTAATTCAATTAATTTTTTAAATTAGAACACTCAAATCAGCAGTTGGGCTTTTTTTCTCTGTGTGAATTTTTCAATTAGGTTTACACTGTTTCAGTCAATGAATAGAGGGCTTGATTTTCTGAGGGTTGGAAATAATACGTTATTATCCAGTAGCTAGGCCAAGAGTATAGGTAACAATTAGTACTATTGCTTCCTTGAACCGAGCGTGTTTTGAGTTGGATATATTCTTTGTCTACTCCTTCCCAGAGGTAGAGAGAAACATTACCTTATTTATAAACAATAAAGTCTTCCTTGGTGCTCATGCTCTTCTCTCACTTGTACAGATGAACATGTGTCTACAATGGAGATGGGAAAAACAATTTCTCAAATTTGATTAATAAAATGTAAGATAATATACTCTATGATGAGGCTTAAAAAGGTTGGCAAACAATATGATAAAAAGCATAAAGAATGAGAACCCAGGAAACTAGTCAACTGTCTAGTTTTATTACCATGTACAGAGGACACTATCTTAGCCTCAGCTTTGTCATTTATGAACCTACTTTAAGAGTGGTTGTGAGAAACTAGATGAGATTAATATCTTAAAACAAATACTGAACTGTATAGAAAAGCAGGCTATGATTATTCCATCTTACCACTTGTCACTTGGCATGTAAATGCAGTCCCATGGAAAGTGCTGACCTAGAATCTGAATTGAAACTACACTGACCCTTTTTATCTATAAATAGGGAGTAACGCCACGTATAGTTTCTTTGATAAAATGCTATTGGTAGAAGCCAGTTATTTGTGGCAAGTAAGCTTACAGGGACTTTCTTCAAAATTTCAGATTCATTGTCTGTATTGGCTAAAATTAGGTGTGGTATCAAATGACAGAAACAATAGCTTAATAAAGATGAAATCTTATTTTTGTCTCATAGAAACGTCCAGGAAGCAGTTCATGACTGACAAGGTAACCCATGCTGCCAGGAACCCAGGATCTGTTCATCTCCAAGTTTTGTCCTACCAGGCTTCAAGCTCACAGTCCAAGACGTCGGCATTGCATTCCACAGGAGCAGAAAACAAGAGTGAAAGGGCATACAACCTGCTGTCTCCTGAGAAATGATCATGAAAACTGCCACAAGACACTTCTATTTGCATGCTATTGGCCATGCCTGGTTACAAGCTGGAAATAGACCATCCATTGTGAAGGGTCACAAATCTAAGACCTTACCACCATGGGAACAGCTACTAGGGTTAAATAGCTATCTCTGCCATTTATCATTTCACTTAGTATTTTAGTGTAGAAACTTTTTCTTCTTGAAAGAAGAAAGAGAGTGGACAGAAAAATATGTCAGAAAAGTGAAATAAAGTCACTTTAGGAATGTATTTCATTGTCTTTTTAATTTTGAAAATTAGTAAGCTCCAACAACATAAAAGATTTAAAATGTTGATTATTTTTATCATTATGTAATTATTATGATTATACTTCCAAATATCTAAAATGCTCATTTCCCTGATTTCACATTGACCTAAACTATACTACATAAAACTAAAAATAATTGGGCACCTGGGTGGCTCAGGCAGTTAAGCATCTGCCTGCAGCTCAGGTCATGTTCCCAGAGTCCCGGGATTGAGTTCCACATCGGGCTCCCTGCTCAGCGGGGAACATGCTTCTCCCTCTGCCCTTCACCCTGCTTGTGCTGTCTCACTCGCTCTCTCTCTCAAATAAATAAATAAAATCTAAAACAAAAAATTTAAAAATAATATAATCATAAATAATAAGAATACCTTAGCATATAAAGCAGATAAAGGAATTCCTAAGGAGAGGCAGTATGAAAACATGGCAAGAACACAGGCTTTGTAAAGAAAGTCTTGGGACGGAGGCCCCCCCATTCATTCACTCATTCACTCACAGCATCTACTGCTGTTACATGCATAAGTTTCAGGTAGTGTGTGCTATTCATGGAAGTTATAATTTATTTAGGGAAACAGGAATAAGACCTGTAATTTTACAAGTACTCACTGAAATTAAAAGTGTGATAAGTAATTTAAAGTAGGAGTATAGCATACTGTGAACATCTAAAAGTAAGATCTAGCAATTAAACAGACCTGGAGTATTTATATTTATTAGTTGAAAGATCTTTTACACTTAAAAGTTTAGATACACTATAAAGTGGGAAAAAAAAGAAATTGCAAAATAGTGTGAGTCGTATGATTTAATTTCACCCAAAATATTATCCCATGTAAGCAGATCCATAAAAAAATTATAGGATACATGCAATATGTATGTTTATATTTATATTACATTTATATAAAATACATGCAATGAGCATGTATTGCTTTTGTGCTTGGAAAAACAATAAATAAAAATGCATTTAAAAATAAAATTTAGGAACATAAAACTGACTGCAACATCAGTCTGGCATTTGGACATTGACCTGCATCTAGTAAATGCTCAGTGAAAGCTTTAATCACATTGGTAGAAAAACATATTAATGCATATATACACATACATATAATATTCTCCAGTAAAACAAAGAATGTTTTGAAATATATTAACTAGTGTATTTATTTAATAGTACAAGTTCAAAATTTGGTATCTATCATTAAAGATAATTATATTTTCCCATTTACAAGACAGGGAGAATAATTCCTGATTTTCCTTAGTTTTCAGGAATACTGAAGGAACTAAAGTAAAGATGATTTTGGCTCTCACAAATAAAAATACACACATTGAGAATTTATTATGAACAAAACGCCATGCTTTTGGAAAAATGTTGATAAGAAATAGTTTACCAACTCAACACACATACATTGGATACCTATTTTGTACCAGGCCTTGTGCGATGCTCTGTAGATTCCAAAATGAAAAGGACATAGACTCTGCCTTGAAAATACTTTTGAATTAGTGATAGAGACAGATATATAAATAACTTTCTAAATAAACTACTAGAAAAATAAAATAACAAAGAAATTTTTTATCATTTTTAAAAATTTTTAAAAAAGATTTTATTTACTTATTTGATAGACAAAGAGAGCACAAGCAGGCGAGCGGCAGGCAGAGGGAGAAACAGACCCCCCGCTGAGCAAGGAGCCCGATGTGAGACTCGATCCCGCAACCCTGGGATCATGACCTGAGCGGAAGGCAGATGCTTAACCAACTGAGCCACCCAGGCGCCCAACTGTAGGTAATTTTTAGATCTATACATAACTCTAACATGCTAGCACTTGCACATGCTTTCATAGGGTGGCACAGAGCTGTACACTTTACGATCAGGGAAACCAAGGGCAAAGAGCTTAAATGGCTTCTCTTGTTGCAAAAACGCAAAAAATACAGAAAAATGAATTTGCACTGAGGGGACCAGGAAAAGGAGAAATACAAGTTTTGCTCAAATATCTATCATACTTAGAAAATTTGGTGGCTCCTTTTTAAAAAGTCACATTCCAGTCTTTATGGAATGATCCTGAATTGTGAGATAGTTTAGCTGCTGACCATGTAAACCATTATGGAAATAGTCCTTCTCATATCTCAAAAAAGTTCTGCTTTTCTCTTTTTGTCAGTTTTTCTAGTGGTGACTGTGGTAACAAAGGAAAGCCTTAGATCCACAGTGATAAGACAGAGTGGTTATTTTTCTTTCTTGACAGTCAGCATGGACATTTACACTGAGCGTTCACTAAGAAGCATTTTCATTATCTGTGTAATGAAACTCCTCTGTAATGGTGTTTGGAGGCAGAACTAGCTCTCACTGAGACATCCAATCATTCATCCCACCAACACTTTTCCGTCATCTAGAATGTGCCAAATAATTGCTGGACCCTGGACAGTAAGAGGTGAGGAAGGCTTAGTCCAGGCCCTTGAATTCACACAGAAGCTTATTGTATAGGTAACAAATTTCCTATAATTTGGCATTCTGTGGTTAACACCCATAAGCCTATATCTTCATTTCTCCATTTAATAAATATGTCCGGAATTACATCTAAGTACCAAAAACTGTTCTACGTAAGATAGTTGTAAAAACAGACATAACCCCTGTTCTAAGAGTACATAGTTTGTTTGGGACAGACTGAGACAAAAATTGTTAGTTTCCTACACAATTTCCATTCTCCCTTCTTCCTCTTTAAAAGAAACCTGATTCTTGTTGGGGGAGCAGTATGTCCAGTCGCAGACGATGGATCACGATTCGTCTAAGTCCGTGATTTCCAAACGGTGTGCCCAGTCTCCAAGGGTGCCAAAGTAAACTCACTGGGGGGCCATGGCATAGTTTAATTTTCAAGAGAAGCAGTGCAACTCAACATCTGTTGGATAGTGTACAAATTACTAGCTTAGGGTATTAAATCCTTCAGACTGTGCCATACCATTGCAAAGCTGGATTTTCAGTGGTTGCTGTGATTAAAAAACAAACAAATAAACAGGTATGGCATGAAAAGCATGGAGAACAACAAATCGTACTGTCCAATCTGATTCCAATGTTGCAAAGTTGCAGAGTGCCCAATGGGTGTATCTATCCCATTGTAACTCGTGGTTATTTAAACACAGAAAAAGTATTACTTTCTTTCAATTTATGTGTATAATCTATTCAAATGACCACTAAGTTGTAAATAGAGCTTTTATGTATTTCTTTCTTTTGAGAAAATTACTGAGACCCCAAGGGAGCTGTGTACCAAGAAAGTCTGGGATCCTTTGATCAAAGCTAATCATGTTTTTTCAATCCTGCTTCCTGCTTCCCTAGCTTCCTTGCATCTAAAGGTGACTGTATGACCCAATTCCAGGCTAAGCATAAATGCACATGGAGGTGAGAGAGGAAGGACAGTGCTGAGAGAGCATTTGCATTCCAGATTAAAGGGGACAATGCGGGGCGCCTGGGTGGCTCAGTTGGTTAAGCAACTGCCTTCGGCTCAGGTCATGATCCTGGAGTCCCGGGATCGAGTCCCGCATCGGGCTCCCTGCTCGGCAGGGAGTCTGCTTCTCCCTCTGACCCTCCTCCCTCTCATGCTCTCTGTCTCTCATTCTCTCTGTCTCAAATAAATAAATAAAATCTTTAAAAAAAAAGGGGGGGACAATGCAACAACTCTTAGTTGTCCTTCAAGAGTCCAATTCCTTTAGTAATACAATCCTACAAGTTACGGGTACAGACCACATATTCTAGCCTCCTTTCCAGCTACATGTGACCAACTGACTAAGCTCTGACCAAAGGTACATGAGCAGAAGAGATACATGCAAATTCTGGATCATACTCCTAAAAAGAATGGGCATGCCTTCTACTTCTGTCCCCTTTCTTGCCAGGGCCCAGGAAATTAAACAATTATCCCCAAATGCACATGGATAATATCAAGCAGCATTCTGAGATAAGAATTT